ATGCGCGCCGATACACTCATCGCGTATCTCTGCGCCGCGGCCGGGGTCGCCAGTCAGCCGGGTAAACCTCTCCTCTCAAACCATCACCTTGGCTGGGCTTAATGAGGAGGTGCTAACGCCGCGAAACCCAGTGAATGGGGATGCCCCGATACCACCGAAACCACCTGCGACTATCTTCCAATTTTGTAGAAACTTGAAGAACGGGAACATGTCCGTGGATGTGGAGTCGTGTGTCTGCAGTATCTCAGCGACAGGGATGGAGCTGTCCGAAGTCAAACCGTGGATCGTCACATACGCGAGGTTTCTGCCTACCACGAGGCGTAGGTGTGTTGATCTTCGTCAGGATAACCGGAATTGCGGGAAATGCAACAACGTGGTATGTGTTCAATCGTCACCACTTCTTGGCCTCTGCGGGGGCAATCACGACGGATGTTTTGGATGAGATTCAGGAACGCCTTTGTGGCTGACTCGGGATGATGTAGTGTGGGCTACGGGAGTCCTGCGTCGATTTCAAGTGCGTCCCGAAAGTTCTCGAGAAGCCTGCGAACCAGACCGCGCCCGCCAACGGGACGAACGCCGCTTAAGAGGCCGAGGTCAACCAGACGGAGCCCTGCAGTTATTATCCCTGGGATCACAAAAAGAAGTGCAGATGCAGACCTGAAATATGCCGCGACAGATTTTCCTACTAGAGTCATACGGCAGTCTGAACGGTGTGCCCACAGGCGGTGAGCTGTGACAACTAACTCTAAGATTTGTACGGGTTCAAAAAGGCAGCACCTGGAGAGCCTGTTCGTTTGGAGATTTGCGTTGCTGGCTCTGAAGCGTCTAGGTATTGCGATATACGGAATGTTGCTCTAGACCAGCCTAAGTTACAAGGAGGCACGTTGCCTCTTCGGTTTGGTCACGGGCTTACGTCGGTCTGGCAATGTAGCATCAGGTGATATTCTAAGGCGTATCAGGCATTTGATCAGAAATTGGAATGGTCAGCAAGTAGTGTGCGAGATAGCAACAAGATTATATGATTACCAGAATGTGGCACCTAGAGCTTTGTGTTGTGTCTCGTGACTTGCAATACACTGGATCTGCCAGTACTGTGATGTTTCATGCGTACTTACGTACGTCGAACCAATCACCAGGTCCAGGAAAAGGGTCTACCGGTTTCCCCTGAGTCAAGTTCAACGACCGCTGCTTACGATATTTCCAAATGCTACCTGCGTTGCCCATCATCCGAAAAGGGCAGGCGAATCGTGAAGGAAGCCGGAGCTTTCCTACATGATTCAACCATACCCAAGCTAACGGATTCAGTGCCATTCAGAACTCGAGTAGGTCGCTTCAAGCTTTGCTCCGGTCCAATTCAAAACTACCGTCATCGCCACCAAGGACCGGGCGAGACGCGGAGATGCGGCGACTTTTGTGCACTTCAGCGGAGGATCAACGAAGCTTGAAGACAGGAGCTCTATCCCAACGGGGCCATCCCACGAGAAAACAGTTCAGCTAAAGAAAACAGCCTTTGGCGCCAGCAAGGGAAAAGAAAGCAGTCAAAGCAACACCACGCCATTCCCAATCCAGGGATCACGATCTTCACAGTCTCCCTCCGCAGCCTGATCGATCCGGCAAGAGCTTAATCCGCTGGACCGCCGCATCGGAAGCTTTGGCCTGACGTGGTCTGCACCAAGACCCGGACCCTGGGACGGTCCCTTCGTAAAGTCAAAGTGGTTCCAGCTGCGCGCTGGGCAAAGTGTGGCCGGGGCGGAGGCGGAGGCGGTGGTTGGGCTAACGGGGAGTTCTGTCTGTTCCCCAAAGCCGCGCCCTTTGTGGACCGGCTAGGCTGTACACTAAGGAAAATAAATAGATTGCGGCAAGGATATTGGATGAGCTTAATCTGATGACATGGAAAGAGCCGGGAGGGGCTGGTTCGTCAAATCGTGGAGGCGTACGTGGAAGTGAGAACTTTGCTTGCGGATGAAGCATAATGTGCATAACTGGCAGAAGCTTGAGGGGACGATAGCAGCTGGACACCCCCTTTGGGAAGCTGCAGGTCGATCATCCGCGTGAAGGCAATCTGTCTGTCGGCGATATGTCAAGCAGCCGATTTCACGATGATGGACTTTCAACGGAAGTTGACGGCGGCGGGGGTGAAACCGCTAGCTCACGATCGAGCCTCCGCCGATCGAGTTTCCCTAAAAAAACAAGCTTATGATGAACGAAACCAGGGCAGAAAAAACATGCGCCGCACTGTTGATACCCGAAAGAAGCCCAGCTCAACGCCGAAACCTGGGGTTCAATTAGGGTAGTCGGCGATGTGGGCGGCAGGGTGGGATTGAGAGGGGGACCCTCCAGGCGGACCACGCGCCAACACGATGATCGACGGCTTCCCGCGCAGCCTACCATGCCGCCGGGATCGCCGGTATACCGCAACCTCTCGGGTTCGTTTTCTTCCTTGCCCTACCAGGAAAGTTACGATTGCAAACTGCACGCAAGCTGCGGGTGGGATGCCGGTTTCCACCTTGACCCGGATGCGGGCTCTGTTCAAGTCGTTGGCCCTTAAACAAAAGTAAACTTGGTGTCTATGCTTAGGAATATCGGGAACATCGACTATGGTGAGTCTAGCGCGTGTTTCTAGAATTGTCTGCCGTGTATGCCTGTGCGCCCTGAAAGGAAGAGGGAAACATGTGTGATGGAAAAGGGGGGAGGGGGGACAGGACGGAGGAGTTCCTCATGAGCCCGAAGTTTCCGCCTCGTTTTCTCTGGTCCCCCCCAACATAGCCGCCCGTGTGTACGTGTCTTATCTGCCAAGTCCAAGCCAAGTTTCGTTTCCCACGCGTCGGCGGGAGTCATGCACGGTTGTCTGCCGGCATAGTGCCTGAGTCGTTGGCTGTCCTCCTCTAGTTTTAATGTTTGCCGGCTTGGTGGGTAGTCGTCACCCTACTTACCTCAATCAGGACGACCCCCAAAAAGCTTAACCCCTCCCGCGGACCTCCGCTGGTGGGCGAGAAAGAAAGAAAGACATGGGAGCCTGCGAAAACGGCCTCATCCGAACTTGTGAATGGCAGACGGGTGGACGTTTGTATGAACGACAAGAAAAGTGTCCGAGCAGGCTGGACAGGAAAGAAGGAGACACCCACGGCCGAGCGTCCCGACATGCCTGACGGGCGAGATTTTGGGCAGAGCGCAAGGCGGACATGGAAACTTTCGTTGTCGCTATCGCAAAATTTTGATCTGATAGTCGTAGGGCGCGGGGAGCTGGTGGTGCGGTTTGCCGCTGCCGACTGCGAAGGGGACGCGGCCGAGTCTGTCGGCGTCTTGGTTGCTTGGTTGGCTGTGCATGATGGCGGCCAACGATGTTTTGCGAAATCGAAAGACTATTTCGCGGAGGTTGCGATGGTGAGGTCTTGGCGGATGGTCTGGACTTGAAGCCGACTTGAGGTTGAGATCTATTAAAGGGGACGAGAAATACCTTCTCAACCAGACTTTTCTTCTTCAGATCAGCAGTCTCAAGCTTCTCAGTCTCAATCATCCACAGCTTCAACATTCTCAAACTTCCTTGAAGATCTCACGATTTCATTTGACCACCTCAAATTCCCACGATCCATCAACCCACTTGTCAAAATGTACTCCTTCAAGGCCATCTTCCTCACCGCCCTCCTCTCCACTGTCATCGCGACTCCCCTCAAGGAGCGCACCGTTGAAGATCTCGATGTTGATGTCGTCCCCGTGATCGAGACCAGGGGCGAGGCAACCTTCGGCGGCAACGTCGGTGGTGGCTTTGGCGGCGGCTTCGGTGGTGGTGCCGGCACTAGCGGTAACATTGCTGGGAGCCGCTCAGGCAATGGCGATTGCGACTATGGTGACAAGAGCCGCCTGGATAGCGAGATTCGCAACAGGCAGCAGTTGAAGGACCGCCTCGACGATGAGATCCGCCGCCGCCAGTCGATCAAGGATAACCTCGATGAGGAGATTCGCAGGAAGCAAAACGGTGGATGCAAGGGTGGATGGTAAATTGTGACCATCACCAACAACACTTGGGGAGTTTGGGCTCAATGGACGGAGTTACAAGGGCGGCGTCAACCGGAACGGAAACAATGGCAGGGTCTTTACTTCATGGGGAATGTCGCAATACCAGCAGCCTCGACAGGCAAACAACAATTTTCACTTCTCATGGAGAGGCATTTGGAGAAAAGGTGTTTAGATAATAAGTTTTATAAATCAATACCGATCCTTTACAATCACTCATATATTGTATGATATTTGCCGATGTTCTTCTTGTGTGAACTGATGCTGAGGAAGTCTCCTAGCTCGACACGCAAACTAGTTGTCAAGACGTCCAAGAAATTGTTTTGACCTATAATGAACTTTTCAATCATTCTGTCTATGCCCTCAAAGAAGATAAAACCTTGTTTATTCAAAGAAGATTCAACAACCCTTTTCATCTCAAGTCTGAATGTTTTTTGTGGACCTCTATTCAAAAATCAATTCTAGAGATCTCTGCATTGAGGTACGATAATACTATGTTAAGTCCCATTGGTAAGACATTTGTAGTGGAGTTATTCAATTGGCGTTGTTTCAACCAGGTTGAACGATCGCCGTGTTCCGTTTGTATCTATGCATATCGGCATCCTGCAGGTTTCCGAATAATGCATTTACCTAATTCCATGTACGGATAGGTACTAATCTACTCCGCTCTGATTGGTACATCCGCAAGAGGTTTGCAAACGAAATAACGGGAATTCTAAATATTGAGTGAGATTCCAGGAGGCTTGCTCAGATAGGAGACGCGTCGAGTCGCTTGTCGCTTGAGGCAGCCGCGGTCGTGCATGCCTCCCTCCAAACGCTCCTGCCTCAAGGTGAGTTGCTAGCAAAAAGTGCCATCCACCCACTTGGCCAAGGTGAAAATTTCTCTCCCACATAATCCCTCCCCTCCGTCTTCTCGTTTTCATCTCTCACCTCCCACGCCTCTCTTGATCTTCGCCACATGAGAGTTCGCACCGACTGCGCCCACGATGTCTCCCCTGCTTCGTCTGACAAGCTCATTGTCGAGTGCAGTCGAGGAGTACAAGATAGCGACCGACTATTTCCTCGAGTGGCTTTGGTGTCAGCACCGTATGGCCCATCCGGACCAAGCAACCGGGTACTCCTTCAAGTCATGCGCGGAGATTCTCAACGCCGTGAAGCTTGTCGCCGAAGACAAAGTCGCTGTCCCCGCCTCCGTCATTGCCTCCCTGGATAGAGCAATCGACAAGCGACGTATCGCACTCACAATTCATCGGGAAATTGAGGCTGACGACGTCGAGCATGAAGTGTTTCTCCAGAAGTCAGCTCACCGCAAGAAGATTGTCCCCATGTTATCGTTTTCTGATCAATTCGCAGGCTCGAAGTCGCCTTAGAATTCCTGATCCCTCTGAAAGCCGAGATGCCGGCCTTTGACGATGCCAGCGTTCGGAATACGGCTCACTCGCAGTTAAATCGATACGCGTCACTTTCCAACACCGAGACAGACCCCGAACCAGACGTCCCGGTATCCAATATCTGCGACTGCGAGAAGAAGGTGTCGGCGACGCTCGAAGAGCCCGCTCCCGTGGTCACAGCGATGAAGTCCCGTTGTCAGTTCCTCGTTGATGACTTCATCGGCAAAATTGCCGACGACATGGACTATGTCAAGGTTGGACTCGCCCCATTCGTATCTCCCGTCCATTCACTGACATTGATAAGATATACATTGGTATGAGATGGAAAATTGAAGAGTACTGGACTGAAGCGGCGGAGGGCAAGCTTCCCCTGCCGGTGGCAGCCTGGCTCACCAGCGAGGCCATGAGAAAGATCGAGATCACCATCCCCAAGGACTTGAAGCTGATCGACACGTTGAAGCTCGTCGTTGAAATGGGGCCTGTGCTTCAACGTGTCGACTCTATTCTGGGGACACAAAAGACCGACACGCCTTGGTGGAAGGATGCTACTTCACTACTCGAGTACGAACAGGCGCTCAACACACTCGACCATTGGGGCGAGACTGCTGACGAAGCCAAAACGCCGACTCCCAAACCTTCCATGCCATGGGATACCCAAGAGATGTCTACCAATGTCCTTCCCAAGATCTTTCGAGACATTCACAGAGCTATGGGAAGACGGCGGGCAATCAAAGCCGTCGAGGATATTACGTTCTTCATCCACCCTCGCAACGAATCGTGCGAGCCATTCTATGCAGCTGTCTCCCATCTCATCGATTACGATTGCAATCTGGCGTCCAGTCCACTCTTGTTCGGAACGGATCTGTTTTTATCTTCAGCCAGGGCCTTCTTCTGGCCCAAGGGGGGCGACCTCAACAAGGAGAACTGCCGTCTCCGGCCCCTGCGATTGGCGATGGATATGAAGACCAGTGCCAAAAAGGTCGCCGAAATCTTCCAGGAATTGCCTATTCGTCCGAATGCCACCATGCAATTCTACGAGGTGATGTCCTACTTCCTGAATGGCCTCGACGCCTACATTCACGAGCGCATCTTCGATGACTACCACTCAGCACCCTTGACGGCGGGGTGCCACATGGCAGAGATGCTGTATCAGGCTCAGCTCGTCGGCAACTGTCTTTTTCTGCATAAGACAATCATTGCCAGCACTCTTCATTTGTACAATGCCCTCCGACAGTCACCAGTCAAGCTGCCCCGAATTCGCATCATGGACGAGCTCTGCGAGATGTTTCATGATACTGTCTTCCTCGGAACATTGCCCGAGAAGAACTTCCTGTCATGGTATCGGAAGTGCGTCTATGACGCGAAGATTGCCAAGATCAGCAAGTTGCCACACTATGGAGCGTCAGGCCTCAGAATCGACCCAGACCACAGGCCTCGCGCTATTTCGGTCAATTCAGCCTTTGCTACTCAGCACGGGAATGATCATGCTCCCAGTCCCGACTTCACTGGTCCATTGTATGGCGTCAAAGTCCCTGCCAAAGGACCTCCTTCGACGGCATCGCTGACCGAGCTCGATGAGATATACTTTAGCATTCGGGATAGCGACCACATTCAGCTCGCCAAAGAGGCTGTCCTGAAAGACTTTCAGGGTCCACGAGCCGTCATAGCGGTCGACTACTTTTCCCTCTTCAAGTTCTGTGCAGACATCATGGACGACTTCACCTACTTCGCCAGGTACGACATGAGCATTCGGAGTCCAGAGCTGGCTAATATGCCCCTTCAGAATATGGTCGACGCTGCCATTGGCTGCATTGTCTCCATGAGCGGTAAGAAGGAGATGCACCGTGATATGCATCGAAGATCCGGAGCGGGGTTTGCATTTAACGCGTTCAGCAAGATCGATAAGAAATTGTCCCTGGACAGCATGAAATGGAAGTTGTGACGGAAGCGGCGGATTTCGAGATGGGATGATGAGGTGTCAACGCAGTGAGGTCAATGTGAGATATTTGGACGACATGATCAGGTAGCATCGCAGGATGCTGCATCGTAGCCTTCATGGAAATAGATGTTGGAATTTCCAAAAGCCCGAGGGTAGCTTTGCTTTTTGATTCCGAATAATAGGCCCCTGCACAGGTCAATGCATTTGCTAATCAGTACACAAATGCTTTAGATGGATGATGACTTTGAATCTCAAACTTTCGGTCGAGGTGAGAATTTGTATGGATACATAGCTGGGCGTCCTTCTCCTTTAAGGCCACCTGCAGTCCTTGGTTGAATGAAGTTCTTCGAAGCGAAAGCGCCATTCCAAGTCTCTTTCGGGAAACCACGACTTTCTGCCTGCTTCCTCCTTCTTTCCCAGTCTCTCCGCCCCTGCGCAACACTTCGCTCCAATTTTCACCTTCCTCAGAAGCTTCACCAACCTTTCCGAGACAACAAAATTTCAAATTTCCTTCACGCAGCTTCCAATCCACCGCCTCCATTCTCATCTTGCCATACGCCTCTATGCTCAGCAAACGTGTTGTCCTGCTTGATCGGCTTAACCCTCAGATTTACAATACACTCGGCTTCGACGGTCAGGATGCCATTTGGCGACGATGGTGTTGTGGCTAAGGCTTACGCAGAATACAAGCTCGCTACGAGATACGTTCTGCACTGGATCCAGTGCCAGCATCAGCTTCTGATTCCAAAGAACACCGCTTCATTGACTTCCACAAAGGCTTTCATGGATGCGGCCAGGGTATTACAGAAGAAAGAAATTGGTGTCCCTACCTCGATTCTCTCCTCATTGCGCGCGACCATCACTAAGCGCCGACAAGTCGCCATCATCTACCGAGCACTCGGCGCAGGCCACTATGAACATGATATCTTTATCAAAAGGTCTGCTGCTTACTCAGTCTTCTTTTACTTTTATTGGACGGTTTCTGACTTCACGGCAGACTTGAAGAACTTCTTTCAATTCTGATGCCTCTCGAAGCCGCTTCCGCGACTCCTTATTTCGAGCCTTTTCCACAGCACGCCTTTGTGGCAAAGAATCCATTCTCCTTGCTTGAACTTTTGGTCGATGAATCAGACAATGAATCCCACCTTTCAACGGACCATGCCCCGCTAGAGACAAACCACGCCTTGCCGCAGCAAAGAGCACCTCACACCGCTCCCAAAGACGACAAGACGCCAGAAATTTCGCTCCAAGACGACCAGCTGGAAGTGCTTGCCAAGATCATTCTATTCATATATGTACGCAATCCCTCTTCTCATTCTTCTCCGTTCTTCCTACTGACGCACACATACGCAGGAATATGATGCTTTGCAAGCTCAATTGCGAGACTATGCGACCGATGCCGCCAGAGGTATTCTACCTCTGCCTGTGTTCGCGACATTGACCAGCTTTGCCTTCAAATACCTCCTGAGATGCGTCGCGCCAATCATCGCCCGGGACAGCCACCAGTTCTCCGACATTTGGCAGAAGCCTACCGACTCTACGCCCTCTTCCCGAACTTCGCCGCCAGCCTCGCTGGCTGAGATGGACATGTTTCAGGACCGGTCCGATTCGCCACCCTTGGTCAAATGATTCACAATTTCGACGTCTATCTGGCGACCAAAACTGTGGAGCATGAGCATGGTATTTATCGAACCACTGATGCAGTGCAGCTTCTGCCGTATCGGACCCCTGACGCCAGGATCTCGGCCGGTGCGCCTCGAGAGGGTAAGAGGAAAGAACTCGAAGAAGACTCTGTGATTGTAATCATGTCGACCATTCACAACATCATTGCCGAAAGATCTGCGATGCCCAAGCCAAGAGAAACCAAGCCCGGCGCCTTGTATCGCCTCGACACGAGCACACCGCTTCATCTGGCCGTCGAGGAATTCCTTCTCGGCATGCGTGCCCAAGATGCACCTCTCCAATCTGGCGTGATTTTTGGGGTCGACATTCTTCTTTCGACGCATGAAGGATTCATCTGGGCGGATGGCAAGCTGAATGTTCAAAGCTGCCGCCAAATGGCCACCCAGCTGTCAAAGGAAATGCAGAACAGCATCTTTCCCGTCATCAGCGCCGTCAAGCTTGTATGCGAGAAGGACTGCGCCGGTGGTTTCGACCTCATTCTGCAAACTCTGCAACATTTGCATCAGGACCTGGGTTCTTATCAACGCCAAACCTACTCGGACATGTATCACGAGGCGCCTTGGACCACTGGACACCATATGGCCGAGATGCTAGCACGCGCTCATTTGGCCGGCAACATCGTCACCTGCGGATGGAGCATCGTCCCCTCGGTGCTGCACATGTACAATGCCCTTCGCAGGTCGGAGTTCAGTCTCCCAGAGATCCCGCTCATGGAGCAGATTTGCGAGGTCTTCCGAGAATCCATGTTTCTCGGCACCATTCCGGACCGCAACTTCCACTCTCACTACTGTCAGGCTACCTTTGAGACTAAGATCTCTAACGGAAGTCTGCAAGTCCAGAAAGGAGGTAAAGACAGATTTCGGACCAGGTTTTTACATTCGGCAACCTCGGATTTTCACATTCACAAGCATTCCGTGTCCCCGCGTGTGCTCTGTAAGATCTTCGACCTGCCATTCAGCGCCAATCCAAGCTACGCGCTGAAGGAGAAGATGCGGTCTGCAAAGGAAGAAAACATCCGGAGCATCATTGAGAAGGCTAAGGACGCCCTTGTCCCAGAATTTGACGGCCTTGTCCCTGTTGCACGGATCAACCAGTTTGCCCTCTTCACGCTCTGCGCTGGGGTTCTCGACAAGCTGAGTGGATTCAATCGCCCAAAGACGAACCGCCGAGTCAAGAATGCGCTTGACTCACTGCACAGAGGGGTGCAATTAGTTGAATTGGTGCTCGAAACCATTGTCAAGGCACCCGGAAAGCTCAAACGAGGCCATAGGCTGCGTGATATCGAGCTTCTGCAAGCTGCCGCCGAGGCATTCAGTTCAAGCGACAAGACTGCAAGTCTGAACCAATATCTTTTGAAGGTCTGATTGAGGAGTACTGTGTTGACTGGGGGCCCTCGGATGAGTCGTTCTGCAAGTGGTTGATTGAGGATATGCTTAAACCAAGAAGGATTGGAGAAATCCTGCTGGACTATTCACCTTTGTACCAATAACTTGCTAAAAAATCCAAAATCTATGGTGACCCATCTCTGCCAATTTCTACCTAAGCTATTCTCTGTCAGTGGTGCAACCTTGCTAAATTCCGGTCGAGATCCTGGATTTCACTGAGGAAGGCACCACCGAGGACGTCCTTCCGCTTTGCTCCCGACAGAATTTTCACCTGAACTTGCACCAAAAGTCCTTGACCCTCCCCTACACAAGTTGATTTTCGTTGCGGCAACTTTCAACTTCCTTCACCTACAACTCGCCATCTGACTTACGACTCATCACTTTCGCATCACTCGGATGTGGTCCTCCCTTGTCCCTTTCCCCCATCACCGCTAACCAGCATTCAAGATGTCTTCCAACGAGGATGACTCCTTCGCGGAGACCTACCGATCGTACAAGATCTCCACCGACTACTTCTTGAACTGGCTTTGGTCCCAGCATGAAGGCCTCGTTCCGAAGCCGGCCAGTGTCCCAAGAACCACGAAGGGCATGCTGACGGCTGCGAAAGCTCTGTCGCAGACGTTGAAGAAGAACAAGCACAGCGTCCCAGCCTCCGTCATCAGCTCACTCCGCAACGCCATCTCGAAGCGTCGGGAAGCTCTTGCCACTTACGAGGAACTGGGTGCCGATGATGTCAATCATGGAGTGTTCATCCAAAGGTCAGATTCTCTTATTCCAAACCCGATTTCAACTCTTTGTGCTGACTGTAGGCAATAGGCTTCAGCAGACCTTGTCAATCCTGACTCCTTTCATGGCCACATCCCTTGCTCCAGCTGCTGTGGCTATCAACACCGACAAGGACTACACTACCAACGCGTTTGCTTCACTCGCCACTCTCGCCGACGAACTTGATAGTGATAGCCTCGACCCTAAGCCGACCATCTCCGAGCCCGCCTCTCTGCCGGCCCAAGGTCCTCATGCTATCGTGGCACCGTTTGAGTTTATGCTCGAGGACGATGAACTCAGTGAGCGTGTGGAAATAATGGCCATAGTTCAAGTAAGCCATCATCCTCCTGCCCTTTTGATCTAAATTCAGCTGACTACCTTTGCTAGCATCTGGAAAATGTCAAGTCTCGGGTGAAACAATATTGGACCGACGCTGCCAAGGGAATACTTCCGATTCCATTTGCCTCGTGGCTCACCAGCTTGATCTTTCGGCAGCTTCAGAAGCAGTTCGAAGGCAAATACCTTGGCTCAAGCCGCTGCTTCGAAAACCATTGCAGACGGGCACACAAATTCTTCACCGACCACCCCAAGCTCGCAGCCGGTTTCGGGATTTCTGACATGTCCGGTGCAATCAACTTCTGCGACATTTCGAACGCTCTCAACAATCACCACAGCATGTCGAAGTTCTGTGAAGATCTTGCGAACAAGCTGAAGGTGAAGCTGGTTACGCACCATGAACTCATGTCACATGACCCGTCTCTTCTCCTTCCGCTGAGAGGCCCACCAACCGAGATGCCGAAGCCTGATCGTGATGAACCGCTCCAGATAGAGGCTGTCGTTGAGATATTCAAGAACATCAAGAGAGATGTCATTCAAAGACGCGCAATCTCGGGTTTAGAAAGTTATGATCAGGTCCTTGACTGTCCCTCTGAGCGCATTCTGCCCCTGGCTCTGGAAAATATCTCCGAACCCCACAATCTCGCATCTCTGGAGCTGGCTCTCGGCATGGACATACTTCTTTCTAGCTACGAGGCATTCTTGTGGGCGGAAGGCAAGAGAAACAGGCAGAACTGCCGTTTACAGGCACTTTTGTTGGCAAAGGGCATGCAGAAAAGCATCCTTTCGTCCATCGGCAGCTTGAGGAAGCTAGCTTGTGATATAAGCGTCTACAGCACGCTTATGGTTTTCCAGAAGGAGCTTTATGACATGCTGGATACATACCTACGCGAGAAAGCATTTGACCTCTATCATCAGGCTCCTTGGACTGCAGGAGGTCACATGCTGTAGATGCTTTACAAAGCCGGAAGCGCGGGCGAGCACTCTGCTTCGGCGCAGAGTTTGTCCCATGCACTCTCCATCTTTACAACGCTCTCACACGGTCAGCTTTCGGCATGAAAAAGATTCAACTGATGGAAGACCTTTGTGATCTTACCGTCGACACGGTCTTCCTCGGCAGCAGACCCACACAGAACTACGTTTCTCACTACCGAAGAGCTGTGTGGGGCACTAAGAGGAACAACAAAGGGGTTCCAGGCGACGCCAACAATGCCGGATCCCAGTTTCATCGCGAGCTGATTCAAAAGGTCAGAGTTGGACAACTCAAGACGGTCTTCCGATACCTAATTGACAACGACTACGTCGTGCACCCCGAATACGCGGCGATGGTCTTCGGAGAACGTCCTGATCTCGCACGTACCGAACCAGTGCGATCAAGGATCAGAGGCATGGTAGCTAAATCGGATGTATTTGACATGATGGACAAGTCCAAAGAGCTCGTGCTACCAGAGTTCCGAGGCCGTCTTCCGACTGCTAGGCTCGACATGTTCAAAGTTTTCACTACTTTCGTTGCAGTACTGGAGAAGTTCAGCATCATCGTTCAGGGACAGCATAACGGCGGTGGCGTCGAATTTCACATGGTTACCGACAATCACATTGTGAAGGGATCTGTGGTTGATCTCGTGCTTGGGTTCATCGTACAGCTTTCCGGGGACAAACAGAAGGAGAAAATGCTTCAGGATGTCTCGCTTCTCACGGCTGCGGCATGGGCATTCTTTATAGAGGTGGATCAGGGCGCCAAGCTGGAGCACTATTTGTGGAACATCTGATTTTCTTTGGGGAACCTTTCTGACAAAAGGAGCATGGAGTTTCCGTGGCATTTTCATTGTGTATGCCTCAACTTTGGACCGCCTCAGCTAGCACCTGGGTGCCAAGTTTTCAGAATTTCAACAACAGGGATACATTTCTAGCATTGGTCTTGGTCATTATGGAGTACAGAAGGCTATCACGGTCCATTTATGACTCTGCATTTGGAGAAGTCAATGGTGTATTGGCTTTGAGACCGCCTTTGCTGCTTGCTGGGGGAAAACATATTAAGCGAGCTCTTGACGAGGAGAAATGCACAAGCACACTAGCGGAGCAGAAACACAGGCTGTTCTCAACACCTAGCATTTGGTAATGACAGTCATGATCTTGCAGATCAAACGAGATAGCTACTTTAATGGATAGAAAGTCTCTGGGCATTAAACCTTTTGTTATGGTAGTCTGCGCGCTCACATGTTCTTACCTTGATAGCTGGAGTTACCCCTACGGTCGACGAATCTCCGATCTCACACTATGGTCTTGAAAACCTCCCTTCGAATTGTTGCAAAAGCTCCACGTTCTCTCAATAATTATCCGCCAATGTCCTTTTTTTCACGGTGAATAGGAACAGAAAATGCATGCCAGCTGCAGCTCTCTCCCCGCCGACGACTCCTCGGAGCGCAGTGCCCTGATTCATGGCATATACGAATCCATCAAGTCGATTACTCGCTTCGAAGATCGGACTGCCGCCCTAGTGCAAGCACGGTGCTGGAGTGTGCTCTGGACTATTGACCGACGCAGGCTGAAGAAGATTGCAGAGGACCTGCGGCATCCAGAGGCGTTTTTGGGTGTGATCCTGCACCTCCCTGAGAACGCCTGCAGAGCGGCAAGGCTTGCTCTAACCTGTATGTCTTTTCTGGTTCTCAGTCGGTGATTTACTAACAGCTCACAGTCATTGACCAAAGTCCGACACCTACAGACAGCAGGCAAGCCATCAGCGCCTTCGATCAGGTACGCATCCGCGACGGCTCCGCCTGTGTGGTGACTAAGACGCCCGCCGCCTCGCCCTGCTACATTTTCCCACCCAATGCTTTGAAATCCAATCCAACGCTCCCCAGAGCCTTAGAAAAGCTCTACCATGTATGGGATTGGAAGAGGCTGTACCGCACCAGGGAAAAGATCCAAAACACTCTCATTAGACCAAGTAACATACTTTGTCTAAGCAAAGAGCTCAGTTCGTTGTGGGACCAAGGTCTCTTTGCGCTAGAGCCATTGGACGACGACATTGACTTCATCGTATATGAGATGACCGAGGACGGTGGGGAGACATTGCCGAGTAACGTGTACGGGGCCAGATACCGCTTCCACTGGCTCCCACGCACCAGTCTTTCGGGACCAGAGAGCAAGGTTGACTTTGCGTTGCATCCCAACGCGATTTTGGCCAAGCTCCCCCGTCGCGTTCTAAGTCAGGTTTTCAAGAAGATCCTGTCATTTGCAGGCAGTCGTCAGGGCGCGGACATCGAAAATGGGCGCATCGTCGACATCTTCGCTGACAACAGAGCTCTTCTCCCCGACAGAGACCTCATGCAGATTCGATTCGACGTACTTAGAGTGCACGCTCTGAACGGCGGACGAGGACCTGAGGTATACCGTGACTTGGTTGATCCTGACGCCAAAGAAGCGGATAAGCTCCTGTCATGAGGGAGACAAGCCGGAATGTCGAAATGGAGGGAGCTGGGGAGCGTACGACGATGCAGATGTTAATGTCACACAGTGAGCATTGAAAATCCAGCCTGCTATCTTTCAGCATAGCGCCCCTGGGGTCTCATGAGTCGAATTTTGCACATCACTTCGTATCAAATGGAATCATGTGACAACAAGCAGTCAGGTTTCTATGCTGTCATCATCACCGAGAAGTAACTTAACCACGGCGTACGTATTGTTCCACAAGGACTCCCTCGTCAAAGCTATCCCGATAAAACTCGTCGAGTTGCGTGATCAGCCCGTCTTCAACACTCAAATGCACCATTGCAACGAATGACCAATTCTTGCCCGAAGCGACCTTTCTTGGCAGCGACTCCATAAAGGTCCCGGTGTTGATGGTTCTGAAACTGCAGCTCGTTTGCTTCCTGTCGTTATCGGAGTCGTTTCTGGCCCACCAGATCGGCGTCGACGGATCGACAATGACTTTGAAGTTTGGGTTGGCGTTGCGCCAGACCCTGTGATGATCCTCCAGCTTGGTCGTGATGAGCTGGTGCGCGTGGTCGGTGTACACGGCTTGTGGGGCAAACAACTTTGCGAAGGCGGCTGAATCGTTGTCGGACCAGGCCGCAGCCCATTTTTCGGGGACGCTCTCGATGCTAGTCATGCTCACTGTATGGTTCTTAGGAAGGGTAGGGAAATAGAAAGCTGGGGATAACGCGCCCTGAGATGCAAGTGCCGAGTGGGTTAGACGAAACTGCTCAGTGTAATGAACGAGATTCTCCTGAAACAAGCCGGCCATTTATGGGAAGTTTGCAGTGCTTCATAAGCGGCGTTAGGGTAGGTCTCTGGGGAATCGCGTAGTCCGGAGCTCGAAGCTCGATGGTTTCCTTCCCATTTAGGATTACAGCCCCCGAGTTCATCCAAACTATCCTCTCTAGGCCGAACTTTCAATATTTCACAGCAAGTTGATACGTACAGCACAGCCCAGTCCAATTTCAACAGCCCTAGTCCGTTTTGTGTTGGATACTGTAAATGCATGGCTGCTTCCACTGTAATTACTGCAGTTCTGTTTCGGCAAATAATGGGCTTTCGCTGTACAATCGTTTCGTCTCATGTTTCAGCCGCCGGACGCGGTCCCAGAGGCTCGGTAGAGAGCTTAAGAAGTGAAAGGTGCGACTCGCATTCGTGGTAATAGAGTTTGTAAGACCCTCTACGAACGGGCGCACCCTTAGTATCCTACGGGGAAATACGTGATGGGTTTGCCGTACGCGAGTGCGACTCCCTAAACTGCGTTTTAAGATAGAGTTTAGGCAAACTAGTGAAAGCTCGGATAAACCACGATCGTGATTAGGCGCGATTTCTTGCTAATTGTCACAAAAAGAGCAAATAATTACTGATGCTGAAATTGTTTCAAGTCTAAGCAGCATGATGGCTCTGCTTTCGCATCACGAATCGTGGCCACATAGCTATGTATAAAGCACTCACGGAGCCACGAACGTGAGCTTACAATTTCCACATTTAACAAAGTCTGTACATACGTTACGGTCAAAATTCGAACACTTGAACAAGCTCAGATCTTGCAGGAACCACTCGATTCGAACACCACAATGAAGTTACCCTCCATCCTTCTGCTCGGCCTGGTTACCTCCAGTGCTGCTGAAGCAATTGGATCTAGGTTTGCCCTTAACCTGGGCCTAAGCTTGGTAAGTATCTATCATGATACCAACTAAAGTTACACACGCTAAAGACAGTAAACCCAGGCACCGGCCGTGGTTCTGGGTGCTCCAGTGATGTCCAAGGAAGGCGTGACTCGCAAGACGGGCAAAGAGCTTCTAACCCGCGAGGCTCGAGGTCCACCAGGATGCGGACGCGACCCCGATAGTTGTGTAACCGATGAGACAAGACCAAAGAAGAGCCCCAGAGAGCTTGAGGATGAGTAGACTACGGATGCATACCAACAAGACGGTCTCTGGATAGACCTCCTCACTCGAGAGTATAGACAGATGTCTCTTCGCAGAGAAGCTGACAAAACACTGATTTGTCTCCCTTCATCCTATGAAAGATGAGATCCATTCATATTTGTGACTTGGCCAATTTCTTCCATTGATTATGAATATGACGGTCTCGGGATGCTTTCGTCTTTCTGCCAGTGCTGTGGAACTCCCTAACGACAAGCCACCCGCCAGATCACTTCTTCCCAGATGCCAACACATCGACGCCTTCGCTCTCGCTTCGCGACTCAACAGACTCGAGTACTTCCACATCCCGGCCCATCGCCTTGGTCCTCTTGTACTGATTGAACCATGGCCCCTGAAACAGCTCGTCAATCTTCTCGAGGTCCACGCCCGCAGTCTCCGGTACGGTGAAGAACACGTAGAGGAGCGCCAAGAAACACCAGCCGGCGAAGAAGAGGAACGCGCCCCACTGGTCGGTGCTCTCGAGCAGAGAAGGAACCCCCTTATTAACTCCGAAGAAGAAGAGCCAATGGAAGCATTGCGTGAGGGATGCGCCGAATGACCGGAGCTGGTTCGGCCACAGCTCGCTGACGAAAATGTACGGCAGAATGAGGAGACCTGGTGGTAAGCAAGTTGTGTTAGCGTGACCCTTGCTCTCCAGAATTCAGAGTTCATGACTTACCAACAGCGTAGCCGAACCCGTGCAAGAAAATAGCCGCAAGAGCACCCTGCCCAGCACCTTGCGAAACTGGTCCCTCGTGGCTGAACTTGATGTAAACACCAATGTAAATGTGCGAGAGCATCTGTACAACAATTCCGATGAACAGACTATTCCTCCGCCCTAAGGCATCCACAAAGAAGAAACTGGCGATAAACGTATAAAAGAACTTGGCCATCGAGTACAGCGCCGCATACAGCAAACTATGCGTCGTGCCCCCCTTGACCCCAATCAGACTCAGCACCGGCACCAGATACGTCGTGATACTATTCGCACCCGACAACTGCGCGAGGGCATACGACAGAAACGCCTGCTGCGTCCGCCGCAAATTCGCCGGAACCAAGAACGTCTCGCGGCATACCGCCCTCAGTCCAGCCAGCGAATACGTGCTCGCCTCCCCAAACGCAACCCTTTCCTTGGCGACGCTCACCGTGATCTCGCGCAGCTCCGACTGGATGCGCGGGTGCTCGAGAGGCAGCCCGCGCAGCGTAACCAGCGTCTGCGTCGCCTCTTCGTCGCGCCCGACAAGGAACAGCCAGCGCGGGCTGTCCATGACGAAGAAGCTCGCCGCGACAACGAGGGCCATGGCGACGCAGGGTATGAAGAAGGGGACCTGCCACTGCACGTTGCTGGGGGCCATGCCGAAGCAGCCGAGCACGACGAAAGCGGCGACGGTGAGCGAGAGCAGCATGATGACGGAGAACCACGAAGTGATGAGCCCGCGGGTTTCGGCGGGCGCGATCTCGGTGAGGGTGACGGGGCCAATGACGGTGAGGGGCCCGATGCCGAAGCCGGCGATGATGCGGCCTGCGTACATGGCGGCGAGGTTACCCGAGGAAGCGACGGCGATGAGCTGGCCGATGATCCATGTTATGGAGTAGATGCGGAGAGCCCAGAGGCGGCCCCAGCGGTCGTTGATGAAGTAGGTGAGGGCCGCGCCGACACCGGCGCCGATGTAGACTAGGGAGACGAAGTTGGAGACCTGGCCCGGGTTCGTGGCGGAGGTTATGCCGAAGGCATGCTGGAAGCCGGGGAGGGAGGGGATCGTTGCGGAGGAGCCCTGGTCCCAGCCTGGATATTGCGTTAATAACCTGGTCTTGAGGCCTCACTGTTTTTTCCCGTGAAGAGCTTCGTAAGAAATATGGGTTTGCACATGAGGCATAAGAAGACAATTCCGAAAACTCACACAGAGGAATGCCCGCGAAAGCAAACACCAGCGAAGTGCAAATCAGCTGCCTGTTCGCAATGAGAGACTTCGGAGACGTTTTTATGTTCCGGATGTACTTGGCGAGCGCCGAGTCTTTTAGACCCATGTTGGCTGCGTGGTGCTGCTATAGCAAATCCTATCGCAACTTTGTATTTTGACCTTCAGGAGGAGGAAACTTCGTAAAGATGTAGGAGTCCAGAACCATCAAAGTGTTCATCCCATGAACCGTCAACGCCGGTGGGCGGCGCTCTTAACACAACGTCCAGAACCCTGCCTCGTTGCGTGAAGTCAAGATAAGACTCGGATGAACCCGACGACCTTCAAAATTGTGCACGTGAGGGGGACCAAACAGCCATGTTCCCCGGGACAAACCGAGCCTGGTAGGATGGCATGCAAACCCGCATCCTGAGTCTTGCTTGAATTCCTCATTGCCATTGTAACACGCAGGAGCGTGATTGGCCCGGCCCCAGATAGTGAAGACGGGCTATCTTATCCAACCCATGGCGGGAGGAGGGCAGGTGACGGATATAAGAATCCGAATTGTCCACCGGAGAGAGGTGGTCGAGATAAGGTGCCGTCCAGATTGTGGGGTCTTATCAACGGCCGACCTGGCCGATCCCGACATCAGCTTCCTCCAAACTGCAACCCAACACAGGGGGTAAGCATGGCGATTTCCGGGGTTTGGCAGCACCATGATAAAAGCGTCGAATCTGATTTGGTGGTTGCTCGGATTCCTCCGGTTGAGTGGTCGCTGGTTTGTAGGAGCCATAGCACCATGATGCCGTATAAAACCAGCCTCCTTGATAAAGACGCCCGATAAAGGTAAAATGATCTTATCGTCAAGCCAACAAGACATCCAACGACCGGGATTGAACACGTGATATCAGCGTATGCCAAACTACCCCTCGGAGTATCGACGAGACAATGACGGACTATCGCCCTGAAGACCAGGCCTCCCTGCCGCCTATCGGCTTCATCGCCGTTCAGTGCTTCTTCTACCGGCCAGCAGGCGACGCCTTCAACGAAAACACATGGGCGTTCCCCGTGATTCGCGAGTTGGCGGAGGGATCGAGGGAAGACCAGCTCGTGACGAAGGTGGCATATGACGATGCCTTTA